AGTAGTTCAATCCACCTCGCAACTTGTCCTTCTGGGTTTTTAAACTGCAATAGCCATTTTAGTGCAGCATGGTCAGTTCGTAAGTGAAATTTTCGTCCCAGAAGATATTTGCTAAAATGTTGCAACGACTTTACCACAGCTAGCAATTCGCGTCTTGTGACACAGTAGTTCCTTTCCGGTTTTGACAACGACTTGCTGAAGTACGCTATCACGACCTCTTGGTCACCATTACATTGAGACAACACACCGCCAAGTCCTATATCACTTGCGTCTGTGTCAACTATAAATTCTTTGCTTGCATCAGGGTATCCCAAAATAGGTGTTTTGCACAGACGGTCCTTGAGCTCCTGGAATGCGATGTTACAACTTTCATCCCAGCAGAAATGTCGCTTCTCCTCGGTTAGCTTATGCAGAGGTTTGGCTATATCTGCAAAATTCTTCACAAAACGTCGGTAATAGGAGCACAAACCCAAAAATGCTCTAACCTGCGTCTTGTCTTTTGGAACCGGCCAATCCTTTACAGCTGCGATTTTCTCTGGATCCGTGCGGATACCTTCTTCCGACACTACATACCCCAAAAAGTTGACTTGCCGTTTGAATAGTGAACATTTCTTCGGACTCAACTTAAGGTTGGCACTCTTAATCTTCATGAGCACGCGTTCCAGGTTTTGAAGGTGTTCCTCAAACGTACGGCCCACGATGATGATGTCATCCAAGTAGACCAGACAGGCATCGCCAATTAGCCCGGTAAGTACAAGTTCCATCAGCCTTTCAAACGTTGCTGGAGCATTGCACAACCCAAACGGCATTACTTTGAATTGCCACAGACCCTTTCCCGTCGAGAACGCAGTTTTCTCCTTGTCCTTAGGGTCAATTTCAACTTGCCAGTAGCCACTTTTTAGATCCAGCGTGCTAAACCATTTTACTCCTGTAAGCATGTCCAGCGTGTCATCAATTCTTGGCAAGGGATAGCTGTCCTTCTTTGTAACGTCATTCAGACGGCGGTAATCAACACAGAACCGCATGCTGCCATCCTTCTTCTTTACCAGTACCACGGGTGAACACCATGGACTAGATGAAGGTTCAATAACACCATCCCTCACCATTCCCTCAATCATGGTTTCCACTTCCTTTTCACGTGCTACCGGCAATCGTCTTGGCCGCTGACGGATAGGCAACTCTTCACCTGTGTTTATTTTGTGTTGAACTAAACCAGTCTTTCCTATGTCAGCATCGTTTGATGAGAATACATCGGCGTACTCGAGTAACAACTTCTTCGCCTTCACCAATTCGTTCGGGGACAGAACACTGCGACAGTCTTCCAAAAGTGTGGTCACTCTCGTTTCTGAATCCTTGCTGGGGGTCCCACTCGATATATATTGGCACTGACGTAACCAATCCACTTCCTCACAAGTACCAACCAGTGTACCTTTTTCTATAACCTGTTCCCGGTCGCAAAGGTTGAGCACACGTACTCCTGAGATGTCAGTGGTCCTGACCAAGGTTCGAGCTACTTTCCATGGAAGGTCATTGTTTACCCTTTCCACAAGTACACAACGGTGAGCTTGCCCAGCGTTTCGTGGAAGACTAACCGGAACAATCGTTTCCGATCTCGGCGGAAGAACAATCTTCTTGATGCTGTACACGTTCCCTGGTAACGCACCTTCCATAAAAAGTTCTTCCTGTCCACATTTCAAAACACCTTGCTTAACGTCGATCTCACAACAATTATTCCTCATAAAGTCTAGGCCTAGGATGCAGTCGTCCATTATATCAGCCACGATGACATTATGCAGGTAGATCACGTTGCCTAGCTTCAACTCCATCTCCTTCTCTCCACGGACGGGTATACGCTGACCGGTGGCTGTTACCAAATTAATGCGTTCTCGGTTGTATGCGGAGTCCCCAAGGAACTGGCTTATAAGTTGGGAACTAACAACCGTACGAGAGGCTCCAGTGTCTATGGTCAGTTTACACGGCATTCCGTTGACCTCGCCCTTGATGATTAGACTGTTCCCATCATGGGTTTGTGAGATCGAGATCCTTGGGGCTCTTTTAACATCAGCCAGCACCCGCCCCGCAGTTCTGGCTTTTACTCGTTTCCCTGCTGCTGCAGGGCGGTGCTGTTGGCCGCACTACCCTCCTGAGATAGTACACCTTCCCTTTCTAGGGTTCGCTTAGGGCAACTGGATCGAAGATGGCCCTTTTCCCCACAGCCATAGCACCTAGGGCTGTATCCTCTGTTGCGGTCGCGAACTGTAGCTGCTGCAACCTCCCTGATGCGATGGGAACGATGATCCTGCCGCACGGCTTCCACCTCCAGTGCATGGGCCAAGGCGTTCTTAAGCGTGTCGTGGTGCCCGAGTCTCACAGCAGCTCTGACTTCAAGGTCGCGGATGCCGTCGATGAATGTCTGAACCAGGTTCCCTTCAATGAGCGCAGGTACAGACTGGTATGCTTTTCGAACCATCTTCTCCACCTCAAGGGCCCACTGCTGCAGGTTTTCGTTGCTGCGCTGCACGCGATCTTTAAGCTGCGCGCGAAAGACGTGTTCCAGATGAGCGTCGCCATATCTCGCTTCCAAGGCCTCAAGAAGCTGCTCATAGGTCACTTTCTTACCGAGAGCTTCCAACACAGTTAAGGCTTGGTCGCGCAGGCCTAGGGTGAGTGCAGTCATGGCTTGGCTTTTATTCCAGCCGTTCGCCTCCATGACGGCCTCGAACTGGATTTTGTAGGCCGACCAGGAAGAGGTACCGTCGAACGGTGGCACCTTGAACCCACGTAGCGAAGGTGTTGTAGCTACTACGGGAGCTGTAGCTCCATCTCCAAGTTTGAGTTCGTCCAGTGATTTCTTCATGTCAGCCATTACGTTGTCAACCCGATTGTTCACTTGGTCGATTCGGGTTTCAGCTTTCGCGATTTGGGTTTCAGCTTCCGACAGGCGGTTGTCATGCTGAGCAACCCTATCCTTCACCTCCCTTATCTCTTTCCCGAATGTAGCGTGAAGGTCCTTAATGAGCAGCATCTGGTCTTCCTGGCCGCCCCGCAGCTGCTCTTCCAACCGACGGACCTGTTCCTCCTGTCGGCGAGCCTGTTCCTCCTGTCGGCGAGCCTGTTCCTCCTGTCGGCGAGCCTGTTCCTCCTGTCGGCGAGCCTGTTCCTCCTGCTGCTCTCTTAACAGACGGGCCTGTTCCTCTCGTCCGCGCTGCAGCTGCTCCTTCGACGTCTGTGGCGTTGCACCACCAAATCTCCTCTGGTCCGTCTCATGCTGGCGTTGACTGCGGGTACGGACACCCTCCGTTTCCTCCTTAGGTAAAATCGGCATGATTTTATCCCACTTCTGACACCAATTGTTACGAGCTTGAGGTTCGTGACAATAAAAATTGCCGATAAAATTACCTAAATTAACACTTTAATTTACTTTAAACAAATTAAAGTTAAAAACACTAATAATTAAACACACTAATTCACTTAATTTCGTTCCGAAGCTTCGCTTGTTTCGCCCAACTCAACACTACTCCTCGATCGCATCTTGCAGCGCCTATATATTTGAATCAGCAAAGAAATATCCAGAATGTTCAAGTAAACACGGGCAAGGTATCGAGCGTTCGACTAGGCGCTGTCAGTTGAGCGATTTGTGATGTCATTTTCTTAATGCTCCCCCTCGCTCTCGTTCCTGACACTAGATGGCGCTAGTGTATCGTTGACTGGAGCGCGTAACAATATTTTACATCAATTTACTTTTTCCGATCCGGACCATATTATGGAAATCACTTCAGACTCATCGAACGTTCATACGTTTCTGTCACACGAGTTCGAGTTAAATGCATTCTTCGATTATCGACATGGGGCTAAGTGCTTCATTGTTATTGACGTAATTTGATACACCGAAGAGAACTTTATACGTGTAAGTTATTTAAGGAATAAAATGTTTTGCTTATATTCCTTTAACTTAACTAAATTTTAAAGTTAAAGTTGATATTTATTATGTAAATAAAACGAATAAAACCATTTCTACATAATTTAACAGGTTCTAATATCAGAACTATACTGCCGTCATAAGAAAAAAGGGCACATCTAACATTTGTTGACAAAATGAGTTGAATATACCATTCGACTCAGGATAAAACGGCGCATCTACTCAATTTTTTTTAATTCCCTAAAATATCAATATTTTAGAAAATACCGTAAGAGTTTTGGACGTAACTGCTGATAAAAATGATATTTTTTAAGTAGAAAAGACGTATTCAATTTCAACATAAAAGAAAAGACTTATTTAACCAGTTGCTCCGTCATATTTAACAATATTTGAATAGATTAATTAAATTAAAATACATAAGTTAATAGTTTTAAAATAAAAAGACTATTTTTGTTTATTAAGTCAAATCATTTTAGTATTCACAGTGATTAACATAATAAGTTAGGCGCAAATGTCGTCGCGTTAAGCATCAATGATTAAATTACTTTGTAATTGAAAAGACGTAAATGACATTCCGACTTTTTTTATAGGCTTGAGATTATATTATTTATTTAACTTCCAAGTTGAATGGACAGAAGTGGCCACTTGCGTCTTTTCTATTAAGTATTCGGGTACATCGTGGCGGTTAGAGGGGGGAAGTGCAGGAATGTATCGTCAGTTGCGCCCAAGTCGTTCGAGAGTGTGGTCACGTCACGTTTCGTTGCGAAAGAAGGTAAGAATGTTAAACGTATTAATAACATATTAACATATTTTGTAAAGTCTCCATTTATTCGTTTTTATTATAAAAATTATCTATGCGTATAAATTGAAACTGAGTCAAATCTGTTCATTAAATATTTTTTGGAAAATCGTATTGAAATAGTCATTATTATCGATACATAGGTTTATTCTATAGTTTTAAGAATTTTAGTCTGTCTGTCACTTTACCAAAAAAACTATCTACCAATTTTTAATTATTCTACATTTATTTTATTTTCAGATTTCTAAAATGAAGAAAGGCAGATCTTTAAAACTATTAAATATGGCAACTAATGTAACACAGGGTCCAGATTCAAATCCGCTAAATTCAGCGGAAACTGAAGTAGAAAAATCAGATAATGAATTGATACTGTTGAGTCAGATGCAGAACGAAAATGTCAGAGATTCAGAGTTGCTTTTACCGACCAGTAACATTGTTCAAGATGATTTAAATAAATTTCCAACAGCTGAAGAGACTATCAAAAATAAAGAAAATTTATTATCGCATAAAAAGATTAGTAGAGAATTAAAGACATCTAAGCTTAATTATTATTGTGAGGAGGAATCTCCTAAACTATCCCCAATAGTTTCAGATCAATATATATTGACTCTGACGATTCTGTCAAAGACAAAGATTATATACCGCCTACCGATTACAAAAGAAACCGCTCCGATTCCGATACAGATTCTCAGGAAGAATTTATTGATAATAGTCAAAATGTAATAATCCCAGACTCTCTAGAGCAGGAAGAATTTATTATATACTAAAAAAAGGAACTATAAGAAAGAGATATGAGATGTCGTTAAAAACCAGAAAACAAATTAAAATATTGAAGAAGAGAACGGAAAAGTACCAATTAAAAAAGGGCTGTACTGAATCCTGCAAAAAAAATGTAGCACATATATTTCAGAAGACCGGCGCAAAGAAATTAATATTTTTTTTTACAAATATGACGTGGTCAGAACAAAGAATTTTTATAAGACAAAATACTTCTATGACGCGACCAAAGAGGCCCAAACTAGGTGAAAGAATACTGAACAGACAAAATACTATTTCTTACTTTTTACTGGATAGTGCCGGTACTAAATTTAACGTCTGTAAGACATTTTTTTAGAAACTTTGGGTTTCAATAGGAAAAATGATAAAGTTGTCAGAAATTCCTTAAAAATGAAAGAAGGAGATGTGGATAAAATGGGCTTGGATCCAAATCCCAAGAAAATTAACAATGAAAATGTAGTAGAGCATGTCGAATCATTTCATCCTACGATATCGCATTATAGACGTGAGCATGCTCCCAATGTAAGGTACTTGTCTTCAGATATTACAGTGCGAGCAATGTATAGTTATTATTGTGACACCCACTGCACTGACTAGGAGAAACTGATCTCATACGAATACTACCGTAAGATCGTCAAAGATCGCAATATATCTTTTGCTAAATTAGGTCACGAGAAATGTGAATTATGTCAAAAATTCATGATTCATAATCCTAGAACTGATCTAAGTCACCGAAATCGTGAGGAATGTAAAAATTATGAGATTCACCATGAAAATTACATTTTGGCTCGAGCCGAGTACTAGCGTAATGTTGACGTACAAAATAATATGAAAGGTGATTCTGATACTGCATATTTCGCCGTTGATTTACAGAAAATTATAATGTTGCCGTGTATGTAGCAATTTAAAGCAGCGATGTTCTGTCCACGCTTAATTGTTTTCAATGAAAGTTTCGTACCAATCGGAGAAAAGAAAACAACCTTAAATTTTCAAATATTTTCAGCTCTTTGGCAAAACAGAAGAGTGTTTTGGCAAAATTTGCCAGTGAATGATGATGCGGTGGATCTTACAAGGAATTATGAAGACTGAACGTACAAATCTTCTTTTAATTTTTATATTTAAGAGTATTTTGATCTCACATTTCAAAAAGGCCAAGGGTAGCTTCAATCTGAGTTTAGCTTTAAGTGATAAATATCTGTTATACTTCTATTCCATTGTATTTATTACAAGAAAGAAGCTGACAGAATGACTAAGTGTGTGGTAGAGAGAAATAAAAAGGCCTTTAGTCTGTTTTTAGTTATTAAGGATAAATTTCCTTTGTGTTATTTTCATTTTTAGATGTTAACAAAAGTGATTGTTGCTCAAATATTAAATATAGTAATTTAATTAAACCCTGTTTAAAAGAAATTTAAGAATAATTTGAATTCACTCGTTGCACATTTAAAAATGTACGAAAAAGTGCAAGTTAAGTTTTATAGGTATTATTATGGTTTTGATGCTGTGAAAGCAAATTTTAGACGGATATAGCTTTTAGTATATTTTAATCATGTAATTGAAATTGCTCAAAACTTATGATAATTTAGAAAAACACTGAAGGGAAACTATTAGTTTTGATTTATTGGTTGCAATGACAATAAAACTATGATATGAAAATAATTAATAAGTAAATTATTAAATTTTAGAGGTATTTATTTTGTTTAAATGTTTTGAAACTAATTTGTGTTTAAGTTTTTGGTTTTGTGATTATTAGTCATACCCTGATGTGAAACTATTCGTAAATATTTAGTTTTTTAATTTTCTTAATAAACAAAATTTTAATTGTTTTTTGTCTAAAATTCTTATTTAGCACGTATTGGAAAAGGTATATTTTAAAGAGTGGTTTTATGAGTGTTACATAATGTAACTGAGTACGTTTAGATAATTCTAATACAATGCATTTAATATTAAAAATAACCTCACTAATGTTACCACTCTCTTAAATTTTTCCACCTTTTATCGTAGTAAGTATGGTATGATACCCCTTTATTGCGGGTTGTTACTTTTTTGTGTCTAATTACTACTTGTTACATACTTACTAAGAAGAAAAGTAGTAAATGACCATTTGCGTCCATTCAATTTCAAATTAACTTTCCGAGATATGTAAAAATTTTAAAAGAATGGCAGTTTTTTTATTTACTAGGTTGGAAAGACGCAATTGGTTATATGCTTCTTTCCTTCGAAGTTTTTGCGTTACCGGGATTATTTTTTAAGCTAAAATGAAAAGGAAAATCCGTTTTATTTAAATAAATAAACAAATTATCAAAAAAAAAGTTCGTCTTTAAAATCTTCATGTCTCTATCAATTTCAATTTTCATATTGATACATTTTAAAATATTTTAGACGCAGCAGGGTCTGAAAGAAAAATTCATCTATTTATTTTTTATCTCCATTTTACGTTTTTGTTAGTTAGGTCCTTCTCTATTATGACGGCAGTATAATTTTTCGGTACATTCTATTTTATGCCCGACCTTAGAAGCCTTTTCTTAATTATGTATAAATTGTTTTATTTTTTATTTTAATTTATAAGTTTTATTATTACCGAGGTCAAAAATATTTAAACTGATTTAAATTATTTTCGCTTAATCAACAGACTTTATAGGTGTTATATAAATTAAGATAAAAATTTACCTCTAAGGGTGGAATGGAGGTAAATTTAAGTAAATGTTAGGACGCTCTTTATATTGCATCTTTGAAGTTAGCTTTTATTATTTATTTAAACTTACACTTGCCAAACCATAGTTTTGATAGTGTTGTTTTTGGCAACCGCTATATAATAATGACGTTTTCCCAGACAATTCTTACTTCGGTGCCAACTTTAAATCTATTACTATCATACGTTGGCAGCTGCACATGACAAATCAAAGTTACAAGTATATCTGTGTGCTAACTCTTTATTTTTCATTCACTCTGACATTTTATAGGTTTTTAATAGTAGGCGTGTATCCGTATATAATTGTATATAATTAGCGTTTTCAATCAAGAGGATATTCGGGCGGCGAGAATATTTTCACGATGCATTTTTAATGTAAAACTTTAGTGACAAACGTACTTACAGACCACCTTCCCGAAGATTTATGAAAAATCACATCAAAATCTTATGACCTTCGCTAGATGGAAGTAGGAGTTGTTTAAAATATCAGCCGTAAAATACCGTGAACGACGGCTCTTCCTATCGAGCGTGATGTTTAAGGCAAATACTCCCTACAACGAGAGAGGTTCATGTTCATGTAGTCTTTCAGGCTGATGCAAAAGAAAAAATAAAAACATGTGTGTAGTTTACACGACGTAGAAGTGATTCGTTTATATTAAATAAAATATAAAACAAAAACCTTTCACAGAAAATGATTCATTTAATTTAAAAATTTTCAATCATCATTAAGGCATAAAATGTAAGATGGAACTTTAATGTTATAGCAAATAAATGTTACAATCTTGAATTTTAGACAAGTAGTGCCTAAATTTAAGTCTAATAAATCAAAAAAATCTTTCCTTTCGACTAAATGTGATTTGTAATAGCGATGTCTACTTCATTCATATGAACAAAAATTGATTGACTATCATGGTTTTCCGTAAAATAGACACTAGATGGCCTAAACACGAGTAAATTAATATAAATCTTTAAGATATGAAGTCGTGGATTGTTAAGAATGGTTTGAATGTAATTTTTTTTTTCAATATTATAAATATTATATATTTGATAATAAATTTATATTTTTTCAATATAACCATTAAAGAATATATCAACCAGAGACTGAGGTAGTAGGAAAAACTTTATATTAAACTAGCTCTTCTATGTATATCGCGTCTGAGCCACGTAACATGACGACTCGCTTATAGATGCTTCACTGCTGGTTTCTCTGGGTTCTGATCGGGTGGCTAGGCGTCATTCACGCGCTAAGCCGAGTGTTGAATTATTTAAATTTTTTATTATCTCTTAAAATATGCGTCCAAATAACATGTAATAAGGAAAAAAATGTATATCTTAAAAAAATTGTCTTTATGAGTAAGTAGTTTTAAAGATTAATTGCCATGCCTAATAATAACGCTCATAAATCACTTTTTAATTTTTAAATAGTTTTTGTCACAGAATACCTTATTGTGGCTTATGTATAAGAAATAGGCCTATGGAATTGCGGCCTTTTTTTTTTGGAGAAAAGTTCTATATTTTTGTAGAACATAGTATTTACGTATCACTAGCCATTACACCAGCGCACGCGAATATAGCAGTTTGGGAGTGCTTATTCTCCTAACTTGCTTAACAAAAAAATAAATATTTAAGGCTGGCTGAGAGCCTACTACTAGATAAGTTATACTTTTGTCCTGAATCTGGCTATTATATACAAAAAGAATGTATCAAATAAGCGTCTTTCAATAAATAAAAAACCTCTTTCGCTTTATGAATATTAGTATATAGATTCTATCCCGTTCAAAGTTTCAAATGAAAATGATGTTTTTACTTTAAAATATATAGCACAAATCTCATGAATATTTTTTGCACTATTTAAAATTACAACTAATGGAAAAATAATTTAACTCCTTTATGGCTTTTTTGAACAATTGCTATCTTACATTGTTATATCAAAATAATAGAAGACAATTAACTTTGGATGGTAATTGCAAAATATTCCGTATAGCTTCCGATAGCTACCAGGAGGGCTACCAAGCCTGGGCTGATGCATCAGCGTCCCGGGATGTAAATACCAGCGCTCTAAAAAAGAAGTATAATTCCGCCTCTAGGTCCTACAAAATAGTCATTGCCAAGGCAAAGTCAGAGCACATAGGCAGAATTGGCGAAAAGCTAGTTCGCCTTCCTTCTGGAACCCGTGCATTCTGGTCTCTAGCCAAGGCTGTCCAGGGGAATTTCTGTCAGCCATCTCTTCCATCTCTGCACAGGGAGGACGACTCAC